GCTTCCTACTGTGACGTGGAACGTAACAGGCAATCCTGCGGCTATATAAGTGAGTTCTAATGTGGCTACCTGTGAGTTCTAATGTGGCTACCAGCGAGTTCTACTGTAGCAGTCGGCGACTTCAGTTGTACAGCCGCCGAGTTATAACGTGGCCATCGCCGAAGATAGTTCCGAGCAAGCTTACGAGAGCGTGTTATCAACAGTTCTCCAGTCAGCGGACTATAGTTGGAGTATAGCAGCCGTCGCGGTAAGAAGATCCGGACGTGTGTGCGATTGTGTAATTGGGAGCGTGTGAGACAGTGATACATAGCTCCCCTACTGTAAACGTGTAGACCACTGAAGACAGAGTGAACTGATTTGCGCATAGGGTTATAAGTCGTGAAACCCCGCAACAGTGTTAACAGATTAATGCGATTAGGGTTATAAAGTGTGAAACCCCGCAACTGTGAGATAAGTAATTGTAGCCGTTACTTGTAGACTGTTAAATAAACCAATTAACCATCTCTACGGCGTCTTCAGTAACGCGAAACACGTTACAATATTATTACAAATTTATATGAAACAAAACTAAAATATTTCTTACCGCTTTAGAATGATCCAGCCAACCAATACGTTTCAAAAAACTCTTTAAATAGCCCATTTCTGGTTGCCTGGGGACAGCAAGAGAACTTTTCATCCTCACAGTATGTGTATGAAGACATCGAAGATGGCACAACTGATCACTTACAATAAAGGACTGCAACCCATATTTTGTACACATCTTTGAATAGGCGCATACTGAAAACTGAAATATAAAGGATATCACCTTACAATCTACCCACTATAATTCTAGGATGGGCCTATGCAAATTTTCTATAAATCTAAGAGCCATCTCCTAAAACTAAGAGCCAGAATAAGAAACAAAGCACCTCACATGAGCTTACTCAATTTTATTAACAAAATGATGATTTGAAAGCTACACATTTGTCATGCTTAGAGTTAACACAACACATTGCTGCTAGAAGACAAGGAAAATATGTCTTCTGCTGACACTGTAATATGGGGAAAATGTACACTACGTGTATATTCTGCCAATGCTATGATACAAGGAAACTCGAATCATCTTCTGCTGCTGCTGCTGCTAAGATACAGGAAGAAAAATGGTGATACAAAAAACAGAACAAACTCCATGGCTTGAGTCCGCAAGCGAACTATACCGACCAAGCAATGGTGATACAATGGATAACAAAAAGAGAACTGAACATAAAAGAAAGGAGGGAAGGATATATCAGTAAAAAAAAAAAGATAACATCCCTGTGCTTTATTAATTAAGCACTATGGCATGAGAACATATGGGGCAGTGGAGGTGGAGGTCCACCATTCTTGACCTTGGCACTAGATGGAGGTGAGTGGTCAGCTTCACGCCCAAACCACTCTATCCCCGGGGAAATGGCTCCCGACATCCATTGGACTGGAAGCTGGGTGGACCCCAGAGTTGCTCTAGATGCCATGGAAAAGAGAAAGATGTTGCCATGTCGGGAATCGAACCCAGGCTGTCAAACTCATGGTCCATCACGACACTGACTGTGCTATCCTGACTCCTATGACATATAGGTATGAAAGCAATAGGAGAATGCAAGAAAAGGGGTGAGAGAACTGTTTTAATGTGAAGGAGGAGGAAGAAGGATGTTCAAATAAACAGGATGAGAAAGCAATGTGGGATGGAAATATAAACAGGATAGAGGACTGGAAGAAGAAAATCGCTCTGAATATTATTCTTAAGGGTTACGCACTAGTAGTAATATAACAGAAGACAATTATAAGTGATAGTATGGTGACCTGGCACCCACAATTTGTTCAGATCTTTTATGATGTTCCATTTTTTAATATGAGGAAACCTTTTGTTATTTTTCTGTCAATCACACAGATAACTATGATACACAAAACAATCACAGTAACAAGTAACATATAATTTGGTCCCTTTTATAATGAGAGACATGGGTTAGACAAAATAATGGAAAAACTGAAGATACTGTATACACATCTTTATTGATATTGTGTTGAACAACCTTTTGCCTTCAATTCAGCTTCAATCCTTTTTGAAATGGACCCATACAACTTTTGAACAGTCTATGCAGAATTTTATACCATTCTTCTTGAATGACATTTTCAAGTTGCTTTAGAGATGCTGGAGGTGGGAGTCTGTTCCTCAGTCTAGTCTCCAAAACCGACCAGAGTGGTTCAATGATGCTCAAATCTCGTGACCGTGCTGGCGAAGGAAGAAGTTGATGTTCACATTCATGCTCTTCACACCATGCCTGAACAGTTCCAGCTGTGTGAATGAGGGTACTGTCATCTTGGAAAACTGTATTGCTGTTCAGAAATAATGTCTGGATCATGGAATATGGAATACTCCATCCTGACAATTTGAACAGAGAGCTGGGGGTCTGTCTCAGCAAGTCATGGAATCCTCTCTGTCATCTGTTCCCTCAAGAAACCTCTGGGACATGATGCCAGATCCACAAGGCCACGAAGGTCTATTCCTGACTTGCATCACAGCCCCAAAGCCTCAGGGTTAATGCCGTCCAAATAAATTTGCCTTTCTCCCCCCCCCCTTGACAGAGTACTCTATTAGTCTGTCAGCATTTACTTATCCTGGTTCCACCCTAAGGATGGAGGTGATAAGTTCCTTCAAACATCGGTTAACACAATATCTACACGGCACCCATTCATTTTACATGTTGGACAAGTATTTTAAATACAAAATGAACTAAGCTTTTCATAAAGCTGTTTATATGGTATATTGTAAAAAAGACTTTAAATTGGCATTTGCATATACATTTTTAAGGAATGATCTTAATAAGGTATTAATGTCTGGTTGATGAATTGTACATGTTGGTTAAATTATTGAATTGTATAATAATGGTTCCTTTTTTGAATATAGCTATAAATGGACTAGTTTCTGTTCTCAGAACTAATATATGTAAATTGTGACATGTTCTATATCCAATGGCTTTGGTAGCCAGTAAGCATCAATGGAAATGAAAATAAAGATACAAGATAAGTCGTCCATTGCTAGGCAACAACTGGTAACCACGTGTCTATGGCAACAGATAACAACGGTTTCATACAATAGAACTGTTGGTAATGATATTTTCTGTGGTGTCTGCTTGGTTATAACACTTCCAGCACAGTAATTCCTGGCTCCTCACTTACGCGTTCTGATTACGTACGACAGTAACAAGAGGTTCAATCAACTCCACTGCTTTCAGTTTCGGTGAGTTAATCTATTCAACACTTTGTGCTAATCATAAATGATTCTGTGGGTACGTGCATTTATTTTTAGAATCAGATAGTTTCTAATACATTACTAGTAAAATAAGCATATACGTTCCATACCTTAAAAGCCTGAAAAACATGTTGACAGTGCATTATTGGGTTCGTTTAACTACATCCGATCAAGGCAACAATATATCAACAAATTTATAAAATATGAGGCACTGTTATTTTCAACATATTCTTTCTCATACTCCACCTTGCACACAACAAAAACCGTGTGCAACCAACCTTCCAAGCTTCCAATGCCTATCGAAACAAATCACCATGCATGCCATCTACAGGAGATTTGAGAAAACGGAAGATTGAGAGAACAGCAGTAGCTTTCTTCAGCAAAAATGGTGGAGTTTGTTGTGTGACAAAGGAGGGATCCACCAAAGTATAATTTTATATTTGCAAAAAATATTAGACGGAGCACATATTTACCGTATAATAAGGATATATCAGTTATTGTAGCTACGTAATATTGTGAAAGTCATTGACAAACCGCATGCTAAATACTTAAAAAAGCGAGGAGAGATCAGCTTCGTTGGGAGGTGACCTTCTGTTAAGAGACACTTTCGCGTAATTTACTAAAGAAATGGTTTGTAAACATCGTATAATTATAGTAGTATTCATTACACTTATTTATAAACAGGTACTTATATGTAATGTTTTTATTTGTTTTATTGCAGAATTATTTCCGTGTATTCCAATATAAAATTAACTAGACTAATCCAGATGGCTTAGCACCACCTAGCCTAGCAAGCGTTGTGTATACAAGGGTGTGCGAACGGCTTCGGATTAGTGATTGTAACTTAGTAAATTATGTTTGTGTTTGCTTATACTAGTCAACATTATGTTTTAGTTTATACCAGTTCCTTGAAGCAAAAGGATCAAGATTCTGAAAGCTTCAGCAAATAACATTTACACCATTTTTTTCCACCAGAGCGTGCAGTGTTATAAAAACTTGCAGTAATTTGTTTACTGATAAATAAAGTTTGCATAGACAACATTAAGAACGTGCAGGAGTATACTTACCTTATAATATATCACATTTTCTTTTCTAATATGCAATAGTATAGGACAGTTTCCGTTATGAATGTCACAACAGATACAGAATTAGTTAATGATACATCTTGCAATATTCTCTGCATATATTGTTACACCTGCTCCACTCTGCACTGTTAATGTTGTCATAGTTACATTTAAAATATCTATCTGCTTCATTTTACAGTTTTGTGGATAAAATGGGTTCAAAGTCAAGTTCAAAGACAGCAAAAGGAAGTAAGCAAAATGCAAGTAAAGCTAATGGTGGGAAATTGCAATCCCAGGAGACTCAAATTGAGAGAGACCCAAATGGAGAGCCTCATATTGATGTTTCTTCATTAAGAAAACCAGTAGATATCAGTGTGTCAGGTGTTGGTCAAGTTGTAAAAGTGTATCAGACTGGCACTACAGAGGTATGTCTATCATGCATAATTTGTAGTAACATATAACAAAGTAGTAAAACCTGTACAGTGTTTCATTGCTAGCATGTGCTGTTTTCTTTTCAGAGAAACCGTTCTCTTTGTTTTCTGAGTATAAGCTTTGTCAGTTTTGTTATATTGAGAAATGATACAAACTCCGTCCCAAGTGCAAACAATATATATTATATGTCTTTGGTCTTGTTCTCTTCCACGCTACATGTTTCGGCCTCTATCGGCCATCATCAGGTGTATACTCTTAACGTTGCTGCTACACTGAACCCAGTCTAAAATTTAACATTTAAAAACACATTGTTATTTTCTACCTCGTTGATATGTTGATAATACGAAGAAAATAACAGTGTGTTTTTAAATGTTAAATTTTAGACTGGGTTCAGTGTAGCAGCAACGTTAAGAGTATACACCTGATGATGGCCGATAGAGGCCGAAACATGTAGCGTGGAAGAGAACAAGACCAAAGACATATAATATATATTGTTTGCACTTGGGACAGAGTTTGTATCATTTCTCGTGTAGAGTGCAACAGGATGCTTAAGTATAATATTTGTTATATTGATAAATTTATATAGCAAAGGAAAAGATGTGTAAATCTAACAGTACTTCCAGTACTGTACTCTGATGCAGTCATGAGCATATATGGAAAATTAAACATTCATACAATATCATGTGGTATGCGTCAGTGTTGTAGATGAAAGTATGCTTAATCTTGAAATACATTGGTAAATTGTGATTCAGACTTTATCTGCTATAACTAACTTCATGGAGCTGAGCCCTTCTTGAAAGACAGACAGTTGTGCAGCTACTCAAGAACTTCCCAACGTTTTGTGAAACCTGAAGGTTCATTACCATGTTTACAAGAGCCCTTCTCTGATCCCTATTCTGAGCCAAATCAATCCAGTCCATACCACCCCATCCTATCTCTCCAAGATCCATTTTAATATTGTCACATGTATTCGTGACTTCAGATGTGGGTTTGGCTCGGGGAGTCAATTTATTGTATATTCACCAGGTGGAAATACAATTAATTATAACACTTTGAGTCTTACTATAACTATAACACTTTGTAACTATGAATAATGATGACACCCTGCAGGTTACTGTAACTACACCACATAAACTAAAAGACTTCACTTCCGACTTCTTCCTCTGACTTTTTCTTCTGACTTCTGTGTCTCTGCTGTCTTTTGGTTATAATTGTTAGGTGGCCGTGATAGCAGACACCATCTCAAAGAGTTCTGTATTTCATATCTGCAGTAACTGCCTGTCTAAACACACTTTGTCACAGAAACACTTCCAGTTCCACAGTAACCTATATGCCCAGTCGAGTCTTGTCACAGAAGTCATGGGTAATAATCCCATGGTAACCCATTGTCACAGGAATGTGATCTGTTAATACCTGTTGCCTAGGAAATTAACTTCCAATCTGACTCCACTATTCCGGCTTTCAGATGTCACGTCACAAAATCATCTACCCACCTACGTCTTGGTCTTCCTAGTGGTCTCTTTCCTTCTGGTGTTCCCATCTCATCCTCCTTAACCTGATCATTCTAATTATATTTTGTGAAGAGTACAAGTTATGAAGCTCCTCATTATGCAGTTTTCTCCAACCTCCTGTCCCCTCATCCTTCTTCAGGACAAGGATTCTCCTCAGAACCCTGTTCTCAAACACCCTCAATCTTTGTTCCTCCCTTAACGTCAGACACCAAGTTTCACAATCCTACAGAACCACAGCCAAAATTATAGTTCTGTATATTCTGATTTATACATTTTTGAGACAGCAGGTGAGAAGACAAAAGGTTCTGCACTGAATGGTACAAGCATTACCTGAATTCAGTCTCCTCTTAAATTTCCTCCTGAAACAAATTTTGGTTTCTTACTGTTGTTCCAAATATTTTAATTGTGCCACATTTTAAAGGGATCTGTTAGCTGTCTTTATGTCATGATTTTTCCCTGCATTCTGGTGACTAGACAGCAACATATACATATTTTGTTTTCTCTGTGTTTACTTCTAGACCAAACTCCATCCTAGCATCAATTAAAGTTTCTGTGTTTTTCGTCCACTTGTTTCCATCTCTAATGTAACATAAACTTTTATCTTAAAATGTCATTAAAATCACATCTTGTTTTACTGTTGGGACATGTTTTGGCTCTATAAGGCCATCATCAGGCAACCGTTAATTAATTGAAATGACCGCACTGCATAAGCTCATATGTCAGTATATTACCTGCTGTTATTGCACGTCATCATTGTTTGAGAATGTATGCCCACACTTCACTTAAGCTACTGTCATATTACGGTGTGTGTGAAGCATGGAAATACATTCTCAAACAACGATGTCGTGCAGTAACAGCATGTAATATATTGACATACAAGCTGATATAGTGCAGCGATTTCAGTCTATTAACGGTTGCCTGAGGATGGCCTTATAAGGCCAAAACATGTCACAATAGTAAAAGTAAATGTGATTTTAATGACATTTTAGGACATTTAAATGTGATTATAATGACAGTTTAAAATAAAAGATTATATTGCATTAGAGATGGATACAAGTGGATGAGTGATGTGTCAGTGCAACAGGATGCTGAAATATGATATTATTTCTGTTTTTCTTCACGGTATCTATATTATCTCCTAGCAGAATGAGTATAAATTAACATTAATTGTGTTAGCAACTGATGTTAACATTTCTGCTTTCATATAAAATGCAGTCACAAGTTACCCACTGACAGAGAACTCAGCAGTAAAATAATGAGGTCAGGTAGAAGCCTTTCATTACCTTTAGCCTGATGCAAATTCTGTATTTGTGATTTCCATTGAGAGATGATTTACTGAAGGGGTCCAGTGTGGAGGTTCTTGTAATACATAAACATTATTATTAGTATCAGGGTTGCATACTGCTGTAGTGAATTCAGATTAGCAGTAGGACATTCTTTGTCTGTAGTCTTAATAATTATTTCAGTTACATTATGTAATACTTTTTTGTATTTCAGGTTCGTCAGATGCTGGCCTATGAATGTGATCTGGTGTATGAATGCAAAATATGCCGGAACCTTTTTAGAAGCTTGGCAAACTTTCTTTCCCACAAACGTGCTTACTGCAAAGAACAGTACGGTGACACCAAATGTGTTATCCCTGCAAATCACTTGGTAATTATCTTATTACTTGGCTGAATTATGGTGTTGAATGTAGTGTCTCATATATAATATTTATAGTCATAACAATAATGGGTTCTGGATTGGATCATTGGATTTATTGACACCATCTTTACAATTACAATCAGTTATAGCAGCTCATAATCAATGAGTGTCTTAAGACCAGCTCCATTCCTTAGTAGACTATGAGTGTCTTCTCTTCTACTGTGACTGACTTGGTTCTGATTTACAAATCGGTCACTTCTTCAGCTTCCGTTTTCCGCTAATTAACACTCCACATCACACTCAAAAGTTTCACCTTATAATAATAATAATAATAATTAAACTGTTACAGATCACATACTGAATAATGAGCATAAGCTCCGTAAGCAGTGGCGTGTGGTACCAATTTGGTAAGGGAAGAAGTGGTATCTAATAAACAAACTGATAGCAATCAACTCACCAAAATTTACATCACTTATTGAGTCAATGAGGTCGTTTTGTATTCTGTTCGATAAACCTGTAAATACTGTACTGTTATCAAGGTGAACATTGAGTTTATGATCATATTTCCTCAACAAGTGAACTAATCCCACATAATTACCTCGGTTGAAAGAATCCACACTTTTGTCATGACCGCGGAGGGCAAGTTGCCTCTTTCCTAAATGGCAGATGACATCAATCAAGCGTTTCATTGTTTCTCTATTTTCTTTCACACATTCGTTATGCTGTAGTATTGTCAGGCGCTTTTGATTGTCAAGTTGACAGTCAATTCGAGATTTCCCGAACATAACAAGTTGCACTGTTGAAATAATGTGAGTCTGAGAGTTCTCATGTTGTTTCAGTGCTTTGTGAAGACTGTTGATATCACCAAACCCAGTCTTGTTCCATACATTTTTTTAATGATAAACAATAGGCATGGCCAACAAAACAATTTTCCTATATTACTGCAACCGGATAGCCACTCTGTTTTAGAATACTGTTCCAAATTAAATTTCCTTGCACATAATTTGGTTTGTGCTTTAAGTTCTGGCAACTCGCATGTCAGTCGTCCTCTTTCTATAATTATTTTCTTTTCAGAAAAGTCCCTGCGATTAAACTCCCATTTTAAAAGGCTTTCGATTACACAGTCGCGGTCGCGTTGTCTGCCAGCATTCATTTTAGCTGTGGCCTGAGCGTGTAGTCTAATAATGCCCCTGCCCTTGTACCACAATATCACACTTGATTCCCTTAAACACACATAGCTTCTTTCGGATGCATCAAAATACGATCACAAATACAATCTTACGCCCTCTAAATATACACTTACAGTATTTTAATAACACTTGATGTTGCCTGTAACACCCAACAAGACTGAAATCACACATACAAAGTTAATTTTCACATAACCATTGAAAGAACACATTCCTTTGCTGGCCTAGCCAGCAAACCGAAATTTGCTTCCCTTGGCCCCTTCAGATTAGACGAATTATTACACAGATTAATGAAAGGAAACTTGGTCCAGCCCACCAAGCAGGGGTAGGGAGGAGGAGGAGGCATGTGGCCTTGAGCAGGAACACGCGTTAAATGACAGTATTCACTTCCTTATTATTCAAATTGAATTATTTATATATGACTTCTTTTCTTTTTGTTTCTCAACTACGGAAGCAATGCTTCCATTGCTTCCATGCACGGCACGTCACTGTTCATAAGACATTACAAAAGTCTGTTTCCATCCTCAAGTGAGGGAAGACACCTATTCTGTGTTTTGTGACATCGGTTGTCCAGTGATTAAGGCTAGCTCTTTCTAAGGGACCCAACAGAGTAGGTGTCTTCCCTCACTTGAGGACGGAAACAGATCCAGTTTCCGAAACATGTTTTTTCTTATTTATTTAGAATCCGGACAATGGACAAAGTCCAAAAACCCAGTATCTCTGTGTTATACACCATTGTCAGAACCCTATACTATCTACCAGTGCTTTGTTCCCCATTCAACCTCATGTGTGTGAATAATTAACAGGTAACTTAGAGCTGCAGTGGTAACATTACATGATGCCGTTCATTTGTGTACCGTAATAGTAAAAGCATTGAAATTAACTAAGTTTGTGCTTTCACTGCAGTATTTCTCATCCTTTTCCTTGGGGCACAAGAAAATATACTTGAAAGCCAATTATATATGATCTTGTGTCTTATACAGGGTGTTTCACAACTATAGGGCATAACTGCAGGAGGTGATTTCGTAGGCCTTTGTGATCAAAAATGTTCATATAAACATGTGTCCGATTTTGGACGGTTACAGAGTTATGACCGTTTTTTCATTCCCATACACGCCCTCGTGTGAACCGCGTCTATCATCTGACGGGTCGCTATTTTTAGCCAGCTACAGACAGAGCGTTCTTGTTATCTCGACACTTGAGAGGTACCTAAGGCGTGGTGGGTTGGTAGTACCCGCGCGGTTCACAACCGAGCGGGAGCCTGTGTTGCGGCCGGCAGTGGCATTTTCGAAAATCAGCTTTAAGCACCAATAAATTCAAATTAAAGGTAATTTCACAAAGTTAGCTTTACATTCATACTTTAAATGTATCATGTATTATGCTGGTTTATTATTTTGTTCCATTTATTGTCAGTAATCGTTACTTTCTATTCTGAGTTTAAAACGGTCATTACTCTGTAGCTGTCCAAAATCGAACACATGTTTATATGAATTTTTTTGATCACAAAGACCTAGGAAATCACTTCCTGCAGTTATGCCCCAAAGTCGTGAAACACCCTGTATATTGAATCCACAGAGGACATGGTTATTGTCACTCTGTAACACGTGGCAAAAATCATTGGCATCAGTACATCAGTTGATAACATGTACATTGTTTACACCTTTATAAAAGCCTCTTCTTTTTACAGAATTTAGCTAAACTGTTTTAATATAAAGGAGAGGGAGGAAGGAAAGGGTAAAGTAATGTTATTGGGACATACAAATAAAAGGAATGGAAAAGGAGTTGTGAGACAGTCAAACCATGGAGACATCTCATTTGTAATATATTAACTACAGCTGTCATTTGAAATTATCTGTACAATGGTGAGGCTGTGGCTGGATGACCAGGGTTCAGTCCACAGCACTGGTACAGCTTCTCTATGCAGCCATGTCTGGGCAACACTAAGATTCACCCAACCTCCTATCCAGTGGGTACCAGGTGCTCTTTTCCCAGGGGTAGAATGGCCAAGGTGTGAAACTAATCACTCATCTGTATTTAATAACCAAGGTTAAGAATGCATGGAGTTTACCTTCACTCTCTCCTACAACAACTGATGTGTGTGTGTTGCACACACTATGCATACATGGGTGTGCACATGAAGGTGGGTGGGAGCATGTGCACACTTGTATGTTTGCATGATACGAGGGGGTACCCAAAAGAAACCGAACTTATTTTTTTTAACTTATTTATTCAAATTTTAAGCACAAACCTTCAATCCCCTTCAAAGTACTCTCCACTTACACTAATACACTTGTCTAGTCTTTTATTCCATTTTTCAAAACATTGTCTAAATTCATCTTTTGAGATGCTTGACAGCGCCTCCGTCGTTTTTTCCTTCACCTCAGCAACATCAGCAAAACGCT